AGCCTATCCTCTATTGCTATACGGATCACCATTTCTACTCTATCCTCTATTGCTATACGGATCGCTATTCTCCATTCTTTTCCCTACACTATTCTTCCATTCGGATCACTATATGGATTACTATTCGAGCGAGTCTTATCGAGCAAGTACTATTAGTGCGAGTGTTATTCGAAGGCGTCTGACACCAGTATTGTTCAACGGCGTTACTATAGTTGTATCTGCGATTACAAAGTCTCTACTACAAGGAGCATTACGAAAGTGACAACAAGTATGGGTTGAAACCACAAAATTTTCTTTTTTTTTTCTATCTTTTTGTTTTATCATTTCATTCTAAACAAGGTGATTATACCACTGAGACTCATAGGGAGGGAAAGAAAAGAGAAGACATTAGTGAGGAGGAATTAAAATAACAGAAAAGGTTTCAGGAAGACAGAACATTGCTATTGACTTTGCATTAAATTCTTTGAACGTCGTCGGTAGAAGGGAAGCAAGAAACCGGCCATATTGGAGGTAAGTCAACAGTTTTAAAAAAAGCATCTATTTGCCTATCTAGTAGTACGCTTACATTTCATGCAATCGAGTTATCAAGGAGTAGAGTTCATTAGAACAACTATCAGTGAAAAGACAGAGGGAAACCCCCATCAGGGATGTGGGTAAGTGACTGAAATCGAGATGCCGGGTCAGGACCAATTCTTTATACTATTCAATGTACTATTCTCTATACTGATCACTATACTGATTACTATTTGGATCACTATACCGTGGTTACTTTCAAGTGAGTATTATCAAGTAAGTTCCATCAATGCTAGTGATATTCGAAGGCCTCAGATACTAGCGTTGTTCAACGGCGTTACTATAGTTGTATCTGCTATTACAAAGTCTCTACTACAACAAGCATTACGAAAGTGACAACGAGTATTCGTTGGCATCACAAATGTGACAACGAATATTCATTGACATCACAAAACCACCTAAGCAATTTTATACTCTTTTTTACTATTAATATCAACAGCAGTTATTCTTAACTAGAATGTTGCTTGATAACGCTAGTTTTCTTTTTTTTTCTTCTTCTTTCGCCCTTAATCCCGGATAGTGAATGTGGTATGATGGATAATGGCTCAGAGACCCGAGTTCCAATTCCGGTCAGGTTCGTTATAGTCACTTACGCGCAAATACCCATGTTAAAGGTATACATCTACTTCTTCTCCCCTCTAAGGGTTAATTAGTATGATTGTATCAGTAAATCGTTATTATCTAAAAAAAAGTTCATACAATCTAAAATTATACTCCGGCTTCAAATAACGTGGAAAAGGTTGATAGGTCGTCAATAAAAACAAATAAATTTTAAAATTTCTGTACATTTTAAATAGAACAGCTGACTTAACATTGTTTTAATTGTCAGATGCGATCGGAATTAAATAAGGTCTGAAACAAGAAAATAAATCTGGAAAGAAAACATTTATCTTAAAAATGCTACAACAATTTCGAAAAAGAGGCTAAAGTGCGAAGATGCTTTGAAAAGGCGGTGCAAACAGATCAACCAATGAGATTCAACATTGTCCCGATTAGTGTTTGAAATGGAAGTAATATTTAAAGAGCTCCACAAGCCTCATTCTGGATCCTGCTTTTATCTCTAAACCCACATAAGAAGTAAAAAAAAGAAAATTACCATACGATGTACAAGAAAATCCGTTCGGTAAAATAGGCGTTACAAAAACCCCTGAACTTTCACCTATCATGATGGATGGGTATTCTCTAAAAAGGCCCCTTGTCTTGAACATCCCTTGCAACTCACGGTAATCTCAGAACTTAAGTGGAACTCAAAAATCCGACCTATTGCTAAAGATGGCAGGAAAATGGTCGGTTCATTCTTACGCTTCAGTATGTATTTCCCTGCTCTGCTCTATCTTTACAAGAGCCAGAGCAGATCAAATGATGTATTGCTGCCAGATCAGATCAAATGATGTATTGCTGCCAGATCAGATCAAATGTTGTATTGCTGCCAGATCAGATCAAATAGAGTATTGCTGTCAGATCAGATCAAATGATGTATTGCTACCAGATCAGATCTTATGTTGCATTGCTACCAGATCAGATCAAATGTTGTATTGTTGCCACATCAGATCAAATGATGCATTGCTGCCAGATCAGATCAAATGGTGTATTGCTGCCATATCTGGACTGGAGCTGCCTTGTTTTCAATTCAATCTTGATCAAAGCCTCTATGTGGTCTTGTGGGTAAGTAATTATATTCTACACTACAACCATTTCCCCATAAATGAGATGCCGCAAGCTTCTCTCTGTTGTATCATGATTTTCATGGCATGTTATTCTGTGGAACCAGACTTCCGGCAGGAGGTTTTCCCAATCACTACAAACTTTAAAATATAACCGTTATCTTTCCTGTATAACCCCGTGAACAGAACTTTTATTACACTCATACAACACCACACTTCTACATTGAGTGGTTCTTTTGCCTTGTATTGGATGTACATTAGTATAAAAAGATAGAGTCTATTGCATTTTGAAGCACCTCCTTTATAACGATTTTTATTTCATCAGAAGTCAGTAGGATCTGAGAATATGCTCCTTAGCGCAGAGTTGAATTTTATGAGTCGTACGTGAAAAATGGGACCCAGATTCCCAATGAACTGTTTAAGGCTGAAAGCCAATGGGAGGGGGGCATAGCAGTCATTATTTTAAATAATTTTCATGGTTCAAAATAATGGGATCAATTCTCTGCTTATTTTGAATTATAAAAATTTGACATTTGTTTTTAAACATTTCCTCCCAGGCAAGGCGACAATGTTACTAAGATGTCAGGAGTTACATCGAGTGAAAAAGAATGAGAAAAATTTTACTGAGGTGTCAATACAATAAAAGAACAAGTTTCTTAAAATCATTTTATAAGGGTGACAAGACTTTCAGACCACCCTGTATGCACACACACACACACACACACACACACACATATATATATATATATATATATATATATATATATATATATATATATAATGGACTCTTCCGTCGGTTTCGACGTATGAGGATCTGACAACTTATTAATTCAGTTATGAAATTTTGTGCGATAATATTAAGTGGCACTTAACACCCGCTAGGAGGCCGCATATGGAGCAAGAGTTAGAATTATAGGATAAAGTCACTGTTAGATTGGCTGTCCTTTTATATCTTGCTCTCGCTTCTTGAAGTCTAAGCGCTCGAGGGTGTTATATATATATATATATATATATATATATATATATGTATGTATTTAATTCCAAGGTTTGAATAAGCAGCTTTAAATAGAGTCAGCCAAAAAATTAGCCTTCTGTCGCAAAAGTGCTCTACGCCATAAAAATGACAGAACATTTGAATATTAATCTAATAACCATGTAGGCAAAGACTGGCCATTACTTTAAGTTTATCTATATACACACAATCTTTAGATAGCCAGTAATATTTACCGACCTCCCCACGAGAAAGGATGTGGCAAAAGGACGAATTTAATGTGGAGCAATCCGAATCCGTAAGCTCGACTAAAAATTCCCCGTAGACCCCGCATAAACTGGTTTGGGTCTGTCTACATCTCCTGACGAGAATCTGCCCTTCGGCATAGCCTCATCCAAGTTCCCCTCTGCCCAAAGACAGAGAGTTCGACTACAGCTAAGAGCTTAGGACGCGGCCAGTTATAGTTGCCTACCTACCGGATCTTCAGGTATCCAGATGATTACCTTATATACCACAGGACGAGTACAATTTGACAAGCAAACCTGACTCGCACAGTGGGGAGGGCAGATTATCCAACCAAGATTTCAACCTGGAAAGGCTTGCCAATATAGCAAAAAGCGCTCCATAACAAGAAAAACTGGTGTAATGGTTCAGGAGCTGAAGAATTAAGCCAAAAAAGTTCTCAACAGTACCAGTCAACTAAATAGAGCATATATAATTCCAAGGTTTGAATAAGCAGCTCTAAATAAAGTCTGTTCAAAAGTAGCCTGATATAAAAACCATGACACCAGTTTCTCGTGTAATTGAGTAATTTTTGCTATACTGGTAGAGTTGTACTCGTCCGGTGGTATATACTATAATCATCTTGCAAGTTACTGGCTACCTGAAGACTGTGCAACACACATGAAAGTAGTGGCCAGTCATTGCTTACCTGCTTAATGAATTAACACACACACACACACACACACACACACACACACACACACACATATATATATATATATATATATATATATATATATATATATATATATATATTATATCATCCACAGACTGTTTCCCCTGTATCACAGCTCATCATTGTGGATAGACGTCCGGTTGCATCTAGCTAGGACCGAAATCCGGCTGAATTGGCGTCAGTCGGAGATTATACTCCTAAGCCGTTGACGCATGGCAGGGATGAAGATGAATTGAAGCGTATTTATTTTTAGATAAGCACACAGTAACTGAGAGAACTCAATTCGCTTTTACTGAAGAGTCTTGCATTATTAGCAGTAATATTCACTATTTACAAACTTCCCAGAGAGCTCAACAGAAATAAATTTTTCAAGAGCATATATATATATATATATATATATATATATATATATATATATATATATATATATATATATTGTGTTAAGACCCTGTATTTATCAATTTGTGTAGTTTTGATATTCTCTTAAAACATTTACGTGACTATTTCACTAGAACGTTCAGTTCCACGCATTTAATCGTGTATTTTTGTATATCTTTTTTCTCCATTTTTAACGGGTGTGTCTTGATTCGACATCTCCAAGTGTGTGCGTGAATGATCGACCCTGTACCCATGACTGTTTTGACGTAAGTCTGTAATATCGAATTTGGTCTTAAGTCACGCTGTTTGCAATTGTGTCTTCTCCATGCATGGTGGTTTGGGTTTTGAGAGTGTATTTGGTTTTCTTTTCATGTACTTTCTCTTCTTTTCTTTCACATTTGTTCTGTGTATATTTGCCCCGGCGCTTTCCAAGACTATGTCACTCACTGTGCGTCTCCCCTACTCTCTGTTTAAGCCCGTGCGTTTATTTTCGAACAGCGATCAAACTATGGACTTAGTTTCGTGCTTATAAGCGTGATCTGCGCATGTGCGAGTGCTGAGATTTTCACAAACCTTATTGACTTCTTTAGAAGCTAGGAATTCTCAACCTTTTTTCTTTTACTTTCTCTCCCTCTCTTTCTCTCCCTGTCTGTTTTAAAAAATCTTATTTACTGTCGCTCCTTCCTCGGGCAGTTGGAGAAGTAACAGAAATAATAATGACAGGAAACACGAACATTAACACAATTTCTATTAGCCTCCTACGAAGCCGATGAAAAATAAGTTAATTGAAATGAAATATACTTTGTTCTTTAATCAGAGGTGGCCGACATTTCGCAAACTAAAATACAAACACAACTGTACAGCTTATTCAGGACAGACGGGTGAGAAAACTTACAGACACCAGCCCATGACACGTATACGGGCAGAGAAAGTGAATTAGCTTTTATAACAACATGTAAGTTCCTTGAAAGAGACTACAAGATAAAATATTTCTTGGACGAGGAAAACTTTAGCACCGTGTTGTAATTATAGAATTTAGAGAGACTTATAAACCCACTGTTATTAAAAGTATTTAAGCCTAGACTGGAACGAAGCTCTAAGTGTGGTTCAGTTTATCAAATTTTCCATTTTGTTTAATGGCGAATTCTATGGTTAAACAATAAAAGATAGACATAGATTTGATGCCCAATAAATGAAAAATGGAAGCCGTTGGTTTTATACGTATTGAAGGCGAAAGGTAGACATACGTTTGCTTTTCGTGAGAATTAAAAATATACACATAGGTTTGATTCGGAACAGAGTCAAAAAGGTCGACAGAGGTTTGATTTTCACAAGATTAAAAAAAGGTCGACAATTTGATTCTCACCAGAATCAAAAAAGGTACGATAGAGCATTGATTTTCAACAGATTCAAAAAAAGTCACCAAAGGTTTGATTTTCACCAGAGTCAAAAGTTAGGCATTGGTTTCCTTCTCACCAGATTAAAAAAAAGTCGACAAATGTTTGATTCTCACCAGAGTCAAAAGGTAGGCATTTGTTTCATTCTCACTTGAGTCAAAAGGTATATATTAGGTTGATTCTCACCAAGTTCAAACAAGTCGACAAATGTTTGATTCTCAAGTCAAAAAAGTCGACATTGGTTGGTTTTACACTAGAGTCAAACAACGAGAAATCGAAATTAGATATGGTTACAGTAAACGCATATGGTGATTTTCTAAGCCCGGCCTAGATATGGCACAAGGCCGGAAGTATTGGGCACCCAGTGAGGATCTTGCAAGACATGCTTTCTAACCATCACACCACGCCGAGGTGCCTCAATATACTTATTTTCTAAGGGTAGCTTAGATGTGTCACAAAGCCGAAAGTATGGGGGAACTAGTGAGGATCGAACTCACTTTTCAGTTGTAACTGATCTAGCGAGACAGGCTTGCTAACCATTACACCACGCCGAGGTGCCCAACAGTAAACGCATATGTATCGAACACAGAGAAGATATTCAGTTCCCACGGTGCAGTATCCCTTCAAGACATTGCAATTATGGTAATCCGAACCTATCCTTTCTTAAATTATTAAACTATTCATTACTATGGCCGTTACCACATAAGTTAATGGTTCCTTCATTGCTTTCTCTCGTTGTTTTGAATTTAGATTGGATTTTTTCTCGACTAGTTGCGAAACAATATTATCAATGCTATTTTCTCCTTAACTAACCTATAGCTAGAAATAAGGGGGAAAGGTGGATTCAGGCTTTTTCCAACAGTTATAGTGCGAAGGAAGCAATCCTGTAAGTTTAAACATTTCGATAATCCTTTATTTTATACTAGCCTAAAAGCCGCCCTTCAGGTGTACTTTAGGCTACCTCCTTTGGAGGGCTTTTGGGCCTTCAGCCTTTTATCTTTGGCGTTCTATGTACGTAAAAGTTATAAGAATTTAGAAATAATGAAATTATTTTATCTTTATTCGACACCTTAATTCGGCATAATCTTTCTTCGTATACGCAACCGATCTCCGTAGTTTTTTTTACATTCATGTTGTGCGCAATTTTTCTTTTCTTTAAAATCACCATTGTTTATGATCCCTTCACATAAAGTCGGTCTTAAAAGATATTAGGGAACCCGAACTGTGTAATATTTCGAATACGTCACAGTACACGTGCTAGAAAAAGAAAAAGAAATCTTATGAACAACGTACCATACACCGGCTTACGGTCAAATCACGCTGAAACACCAGTTCTCGTACGATCACCGAAGTTAAGCATCGTAGAGCCAGGTCAGTACTTAGATGGGGGACCGCTTGGGAACACCTGGTACTGTAAGCCCCCAAAGTCCAACCCTTACCTCACAGTCGGAGGGGGGGCGTGTAAACGGTAGTGTCAGAGCTATGCCGCCCGGAACTTCGTTCCTGGTAGGGCCACCCAAGGCGGACAGGTCTGACACACACGCCAGCTAACAAGGGCTCTGGTGAAAATCCAAGGAGCGTCTGCATCGGTAACCGGCGGCTTCTGGTCGTTCCTGTCTCTGCGTCTGTGGGAACCCCGCGGCAAGCAAGAACGTTATCCGAGTAGGCCTGGGTACCCTACTTCTGTAATTTATCCCAAGAATCTTCTTCTCATAACAGGAAGAAGCCGGCTCAATCCGCCCAGGGTGAATGCCGCATCAGTACAGTACAGTACAGTAGTACCATACACCGCTTAAGTTTTAATTACTGTTGAATTAGAAGATATCAACTGCAATTGCGACGCAAAGCGAAATTAAAGTTAAACCTTAAATAAAATAATTCAATTTTTCACTCTGTTCATGATTTGAATTTAACTTTAAATGAGTTTTTTATTTAATTTTTAATCGAGTGTAACTACAGTAGTTAATACCTGTGACTTCAGTTTTTTTTATGATTGGCCGGGATTAGAAAAACGGACGGACACACGCGCACTTCGCTTTATTGATATAGATATGACAATTTATAACTTAAAAAAAATCAATATATAAATAATAATGTTAATAATTTTCTTTATCTGATAATTACCTCCCTTTACTTCCAAGCTGCAGCGTCAATGTTAACTTTCACGATGCATTAAGAAAAAATATATTTATTTAAATAATTAAGAATTTTTTTATTAGATTATCAACATATGTTATTAAAAATATTAATTTTTTCATGAATTACTTCCCTTTCCTACAAAGCTCTTATTCTGAATATTGAGTTAAATGACCGGGACAAAAATATCGCTTATTTTAATAATTAAAGAATTTTCTTTAATATTCTCAATATATACTATTGTAGATTTTAATATTATTTAGTTCTCTTTATAAATCTACTTCTCTTTATTCCCAAGTTGTAGTTTAAATGAAAGTTTGGTTATTAAAATATGATGTTGACTTAGAGACAAAAATCGTAGTAATGAGCATTGCTTCATCTGACGAAGGTGATATGACGTCGAAACCTTTTATCATCGTAGGCACTGACGATTTGTCTCTGTTCAGAAATTGGTTTCAGATCTTTCAGGACTCACGGGATCCAAGTGTTGTTTTGTAAAATATCTTTTTGGTGTTCACATAATATTTGATTTCAATTCCTAGAAGTTTCTCGTATTATTTTTTTGGCGAGGATTTATTAATGGTTATAATAAAAATAGCAAAAATACCCACGATTTTGATTTCAGGCTAGTTCTTTTTTGAAGATTGGATCACTCAAGGCTAGAGAGCAAAGTTTACCATGCTGTTTAAAGGATAGCTTGAAGTAGAAAAGACGAATCAATGCCATCCCCAAGAGCACTCGTGAGAAAGTGAATGCAATAGAATAGGCCGGGATTTGAACCTGTCTCATGGTATCCCTTTTCCGCTTGATCACTGTTACGCATTTTCGCATCCCGAGCATTACATCATTGTATTTTAATCATTTCATCCAAATCAAGGCAACAAAGCCACTAAGACGCAAGAGGTTAATGAGAGTGAATGAAACTGAGAAAAACGTTATTGAGGACAGAGGAACATAGAGGAACAGGTTTCAAGGAGACAGAAGCTGAAGTTGCATTTAAATTAAATTAAATATTTGAAGATCTTAGTTGACAGAAAAGCCAGAATAGCGTTCCATATGCTGAAGTGACGAGTGAAGAAACTATTAGAACTTACAATTATCTGACAATCTCGACAGTAAAATCATGAGACCTATCTGCCAATCTAGTCGAGATGCTAAAGGGGAAAAACTCATTAGAACAGTTATCATGAATATATTTATAAAACAAATACTCAAGGAATATATCTCACGTCGGTGAGAAAATGATTGATGCCGAGATGCCAAGTTAGGACTGTTAATATTACAGATTCTTCTCTGAATTTTGTAAAAACTCTTTAGATACATAGCAGAAGCACCATACCAGATGTGGCAACAATAGTCGATGCATGGACGAATTGTATATTTATAAATATAAAAAGATTAAAGTGAGCAAAATTGTAATTACTTTGAGATTTGTATTTCTAGAAAGATAACTTGGTTTTCACAGTACTGTGTGAAACCAAGTTATCTTGCTAGTTAAAATACGCCTTTCATGATTTTTATGTCAAATGTTTAAAGTTTCTATTGAAAAATCTGCTCTTGTCTGTTCTGATCTGGGCGCAAACGTTTTAGTACCCAACGAGAAGAAAATTAAAAAAAAACGAAGAGGTTAAACCAACTGCGATGTCTTGAGCGTCAGTTATTATTTCTGCAGTTAATCGTCGATTGTCTCCAATTAAATGTCGATTAGAATCGATTTTCTGTTCTCCCAATCTGATTCTGATAGTCTGCCGATTCGTTCATCCTTCTTTGAAACGAGGTACTCTGTATTTCGAAATTGCCGATATTTTTCGGAGAATTATCTGTATAAACTTTTCTCAAAACGCCAAGAATGTTCTCAAGATTTTAGATGGAATTTGATATTATTTCAGGCTTCGATTCTGACACTATTCCTGTTGCTCTTAAGAGGGTTGTTCTTGAAATGGCGTAAGCTTCAATATAGTGACCTCGAAATACTTCCGGTTCATACAGGTTATAATCCGTCAGCGGAAGTTTACGTTGCTACAGGCAAACAGCAAACCATTTACATAGTTTTCTTTTTTTTATTATTTTAAACTTTATCTTTAGTGGATACACATATTAAGTAAGAAACCCTGTCAGTTATCGTCTAAGTATAAATAAGTATAGATAAGTACCAGACTAATTAATGCAATAAATATAGGACATTAAATACACTCACAGCCTTTTTATCGAGCAGCCGCTAAATTTGGACCAATCTTAATGAGCGGTCGTTCGCTTGGTGTGGTTCATTGCTTCGAACGAGGAATCAAAGAGGAAATCTCATCAAAACAATTGCCATGAAAATCTTAAAGCCGAGATGCCAACTCGGGATCTATAACTTTGCAGATCCTTTTTGAATTTTTCAAGTCTAGATAAAAGAATCTACCAGACCAGACGCACGGAAGAATGGTAAACATATAAATAAAGCTGTTAGAACGTTTCTTTTTGTCATAGTTCCGCCATTTACCAGATAGAGACCAGACTTTGATATATCAAAGGATGTATTTTTTTTTCTGATAAATGGCCAGCGGAAGGACAATTTGATAAGAAAAAAAATGATTATTCTCACTGAAATTTGTCATAAGGACCGTCCTGGTAAAGCCATGTTATGTTGCTAGTTAAAATTGGCCTCAGAAATCTTTCATGATTTTTCCCCCAAATGTTTAAAATTTCCGTTCAAAGATCTGCTCTTTTTCTCCTCTGATCTGGTTGCAAAGCTTTTAGTAATCAATGAGAAGAAAATTATAATTCATGTTGTCTGAGGAGTTTTTTTTTTTTTTTTTAACTAACTTCAATCTAGTAACCTCGAAATATTTCAGATTCAACAGTAAAATAACAATACCTGATTGTGAATCTACACTTAAATCTATGATGTCAAGGCTCCAAAGAACAATTGCAATGAAAATATTTATAGAAAATGCACAGGGAAGGAATGTAACGTCGTTGGAAAATTGATTGATGCCAGGTCAGAACCGATAAGAAAATCATTAAAGCCGAGATGCCAACTCGGGATCTATAACTTTGCAGATCCTTTTTTGAATTTTGTCAAGAATCTCTAGATAAACAGAAGTCGTACCAGGCCAGACGCACGGAAGAATGGTAGACATATAAAGGTGTTAAGTCATAGCCCACACCAGCTTCCCAACACTTTTCTAGCTGTTAGCAACGTTTGTCTTTTTGTCTTAGTTCTGCCATCTATTCACACAGCTGGTCAGGTAGATGATTCACTACTAACCCTATTTCTCTTGATATGCCCCGTGGGTTTCAATTTTCCCTGTCATTATGCCCAAGTAGTGCTGATAAATGCGGAATGAATTCAATTCTCCCCGCACTCATCAAAAGAAAAAGTAAATCAATTTCTGTCTGAGAGAGTTGATATCCCTTTCTTATTAATGTTTTAGAGAACGGCATGAATCAATTTGGCCCTTACTGCCCATGGAAAAATAAAATAATCTAAATTCTAAATCTAAATTCTACTGGAGGTTGTTTTAGATTCCCTCCTAGAGATATTATTGGGAAGACATGAATCCATTTTTTTTCTGCAATCCTAGCAATCAGAATATTTCGACTATTGTCTGAGTGTGTTTCTATTCGCTGTTTGGTTTGGTTTTATCCTTTTTAATTTCTTTTTTTTTAAAGCATTTCACTCCAAGCAAGGCGGGAAGCCACTAGTACGCAAGGGGTTACAGCGGATTTAGAGCGACAGCGGATAGGAGTGATAGAGGAAAGGATGAGGAGAAGGATAGGGGATAGATCAAGGAAACTGGAGATGTCGATTGACATTTGAATAGTTGGAGATTATAGCTATCAGGGAAACAGGAATAGGGAAGGGAGTTCCATAGGCGAGAGGTGCGAGGTATGAAGCTATTGGAATAGAAGAGACGGCTACATTTAACAGTTTCGACAGTGAAAGGTTGTGAGCGGGATGCCAGCCTCGTAAGACGCTTGAATTCATGAAGCCTGGGAACCAGAGAAAGCAGCTCCTTGGGGCAGTTACCATGAAAGTATTTGTAAAAAAGACAGAGAGAGGCGACGGCACATCTGTGAGAAAGCGACTGCAGACGAGATGCCTGATCAGGGCCAATTACATTGCATATCCGTCTCTGGATCTTATCAAGAACCCTGAGACAAACAGAAGGGGCTCCAGACCATATATGACAGCAATACTCCATGCAAGGGCGAATGGTTGATGTGTAGATTTGAAGGATTGACTCCGGCGAGAAAAATTTCCTGGCGCGGCACAGGGAGCCAAATTTCTTTGTGGCGGACGAAGCCATTGACTCAATGTGTTTGTTCCATCTCAGGTCAGCAGTCAATATGAGACCGAGCAGTCGCAAAGAGGTGCTCTCGAGAAGTTGAGCGTCAGACATTCTAATGGCGGGCAGGGAAGGATCTCTGTGGTAATTAATAGAGAGCAGTTTTGTTTTTGAGGCGTTAAAGTTAACCAGCCAATTCCTGCCGATTGGAGGTCCTTTTCGAGACGAACGGCCAGATTAGTTTTGTCAGCGACACTAGATTTGTTTTTGAGGCAGGAGTAAATTGTAGTGTCGTCCGCATAGATGCCTACTTGGGAATCTATGACGTCAGAGAGCCACTCCTCTCTGGGTCCATGAAAATCGGAACAATTTATATTTTGGCTGAGGTTCTTTATGTACCCTTCATTTTCATATACTTGTGAAAGGCATAAAACTACTTCTCCCTGCACTTATGAAAAACAAAATAATATAAATTATAATTGGTGCAGGTTTTGATAATTGCGCTTTAATATCCCTTAAATTGATGTTCTATCTGGAGATGTTCTTGTTCTATTAATTACTTTTAATGTCCCAGGGAAAGGCATGAATTTGCTCCTCCCTTAGATTAAAACTGTGGTTGCTTCTGTTTCATTATTGTAAACGCACTTAGTAAGACCTTAATGCACCTTTCTCTCGCATCATAAAAAAAAGAATTAAAATTCTGGTAAAAACTGTTTTCTTTCACATTCCGATTATGTTATTTTTAAAAGAACGAACCGGTTTCAAGAAATCAATAAAAATATATTTGAAATACTGCCTGAAGTTGTTGACAGGGTAAAAAAGAAATGAAGTAAAAAGAAAATATAATAAACATTTGATCCACTCTGACCCCCCAAAATATTACGGGTCCGAAATATTTTCACTAAGCAAATTTTTCCACTGTCAAAACAATTTCGAAGCAGACATCGCGTTATTTGTGACACTTTGGAAGTTTTTTTTTATTGTTTTGCTTCTCTTTTTCTCCCCTCTCTCTCTCTCTCTTCCTTTCTCTCTCTCTCTCCTCCTTTCTCAGTTTATCTTTCCCACTCTCTTTCCCTCTCTCTTTCCTTCTCGCCTCCTTCTCTCTTTGACTTTCCTTCTCTCTCCCACTCTCTTAGTCTCTCTTTCTCACATTCCTTTTTTCCTCCATTTACCTCTCTTTCTTCCTGTCACTCTTACTCTTTCTCTCTCTCTTATATGACATTTCCCGCTCATTCTTTCTCTCTGTTTCATTTTCTCTCGCTGTCTCACAACTTCTCCATTTGCCTCACTTTCTTTCTCTCACATTGTTTCACTTTCTCTTTCTTTCGTTCACTTTCTCACATTCATTTTCTCCTCTATTTCCCTTTCTTTCTTTCTTTCTTTCTTTCTTTCTTTCTTTCTTTCTTTCTGTTTCACTTTCTGTCACTCTCTCTCTCTCTCTGTTATGGGACCTTACCCATAATAACATAATGGACTATTCCATACGTAATAAAAACTGCGCCTCAAGAGGAAGCAGAGAGTTCAGTTCGAAGTCGGGCGACAGGCTGACCGGTTGAACTCTCTGCCTTCGGGCGGGGAGGAACCCGAACGAGGCTACGCCGAATGTCAGAGTCATTCGGGGAGGTAAACCGACACTGAACCCGTTTATAAGGGTTCATAGGGCATATTTATGGCCGAGCCCACGGGCTCGGAGATCCCACGTTAAATCGGCCTTGTGCCATATGATGCCCTCGTGGCTGTTTAGTCTGAAGTCTGGAGTGAAGTCCGTCACGAGTATGTCAGTCAGTATTTTATTCACTCAGATATATATATATATATATATATATATATATATATATATATATATATATATATATATTTGTCTTTGACTTTATTTTTCTATAAATAGGCAAACATAATGTTTGTAATTTATTAGATCAGAAATATATATATATATATAAACTTTCTGTCTGACGGGCACCGATAGATTACGGGTTAGAATCTCCGACTGATGCCAAATCAGTCTCTTTTCAGTCTCGGCTTGAAGCGATCGGATGTCTTCACACCGATGACCTGTGATACAGCGAAACAGCCTGTTTGTGAATGGCAATTATATATCTATATATATATATATATATATATATATATATATGTGTGTGTGTGTGTGTGTGTGTGATTGAATAAATTACAGACCTTATGTCAGCTAATCTTTTATAAAATCCGTTTATACTCACAGATATCCTTCTGTCTATTTATGTTAAAAGATGAGAGAAATGTGCTACAGCTGTTTAATTTCTTTTGTTTACATTTCCCAAGTTTACGTTAATGAATAATAACGGACATCTTTGTATAAATAATTATATTAATGAACAACATATAGTTTTGTACTACTTGCACCCCTGAAGATGATCTTGGAAGAAGATCGAAAGTACTTGGGAAATGAAAATAAAAGAAATTTAAACATTTATAGCACATTTCTCTCATCTTTTAACCTCAATACACCGAAGGATATCTGTGAGTATGAACGGATTTTATTAAAAATCACTTAAAATATACGTCGAAAGAAATCTAAGATAATACTATTTTTAATAATGTCTTTTCCATAATACCCAATAATATTTTCTATTAGAAATAAACACAAATTCGAAATCAATTATTTTATCAGTGATAAAAATGAATGCCATTTTCTTAAGATCAAACTAAAACAAAATGGTCGCCCAAACGAATACCTCATTAAGAATCACCGAAATTGACTGAAATTGTTGATTATTTAAGATTTAAGATGGAGTTTGCTTTATTTTTGGAATTGTCTTCGCTCGCAATTATGTTAAACCAAATACTGAAATATTCCGTTAAAATATTTTCATGGAAAATGTCTTCCTTTGTACACTATTTACATTATCGGACTATTGTCCTCATCTTTGTCGCTATATTTATCACAACGTTTCGGCCGTTGAAACACTCCGGGATTCTTCAGGTGGTTGGAATGTGATATATCTAATGGATGTCAGTTATCTCCTGTTAATTTCCCTCTCCACCGCCTTAACCAGGTATTGAACTCTTTGAGTCCTGTCACTGGATCTAACCAACGCCATTATCCACTGTGCCATGTGTCCTTGTATTTTTATTTCAGAATGTCTTTGGACTGCCGGCCGATCACTTCTTTTTGTTCACCTTAAAGTTAAAAAGAAACAAAGTAGCAGGTAATTTATGAGATAATGACTCAATTTTACTAACACATTTGTACATCATTCATTTCATAGAAAATCGTCCAGCCTTTAGTAAACTTCGCTTTTGTATTGAGGCCGAGATTAATTTTGTCCAAAATTCTTTAATATCCACTCACTTTAAGTGCTTCGGTACTTGAACGTTGTTTTTCGACAACTTTGCATTTGATAAATTCCCTTAGTTATTCATTTAGTTTCAGATCTCGCCTGTTCAGCTGTCAGATCTGTGTCGTCACGTTGATCCTGTTCAAAATAACCTGAATGACATTTGACCTGTGGCATAACGGCGGCATCAAACAAAATTATTGTACACGTATGAATGTACATATGCATTTGCAGTTTCTCTTGAAATAATTCCACATACCTTGGACCATTCATCGTTGTTCCTGGAGGCAAGAACTAGAATCTGGCTTTGGACACGGCGCCCCAAACTATCTCGAGTGGCAGTCGCTTCATAGCATGAATTGCATACTTTTCATTGAATCTCTTACCAGGGTGTCTTTCATTGATTATATTACGCATAAGGAGGTGTTGAAGATTAGATTTATCTGGAAATATAACTTTGCTGCGCTAATCAGGTGTTGAAACTTCATGTTACTTAGCAAATGTCAGACGTTTTGGATTTCATAACAGCAGTTAGCCGTGGTTTGCAAGTTGATTTGAATAATTTCAGATCAAATTCAAATATCAGACGACGTTAAATTGTAAGAGAATTGTGACATTTGTACAATTTTGAAGTAGAGCAGCACAAATACTCTTACAAGAACTTTTTTGTGGATCGTGTAGCAATTCACTTCATGGAATGATCATCTTTAGGACTTATTTCTTAGGTGTTCGCATTTTCCCCTTGTTAAATATTTCACTTTTGTTTGCATCTTGATTCTTTATTATTAATTATCAAACATTGTGATAATAAAAGATCGTCCTATTAAATTGCTATATGTTTTAATTAAAGTAGCTTTTTTACAGGGATTGAGTAACGCATTGAGTGTATTATTTTGTAAAATATCACTTTGTTTTCATAATCTTTTATTCAAATTATTCGAGGTTTCTCCGATGGAATCTCTGTGGCAATCATTACATGGGATAGAGCAAATTTCTCAAGTTTTAGCTTATTATTTTGTTTTGAATTAATTATTTCATTGTTTTAGAAGTACTTGTAACACGTTTTATGTTAAGCTTAGCTCAATTATTTTTAATTATAGTTTTGATAGAGTTGGTAGGTAGAACAATATATTTTGATTCATTGGGTTCAGCAAAATGGTCCACTCTTCAATTTCGAAATATTTTACGAGCCTTTTCTTTCGCGTTGAATATAAAATCATTATAGTATTGAAAGAGATTAAAAATATTTCAATGTATTTCTCCTTTTTAAAGAAATATTAAGGGTTACAAATTCTGAGCGCTCTTAAGTGTTAACCGAACGTTATTCCGAGTTTTATTTTTGTTGTTATGGTGAGAATAGAAATTTATGAGATCATTTTTACTCGTTGATCTGCGAGAGAGACTTAGTTTTAAACTCCTCCAAATACGGTGTAACAGGATATCTGGGAAATATAAAGTGTATATATATATGTAGATAAACCTAGTGAGCCAGACAAACTTACCCAGGTTTCACCTAAGCGGATCGTCAGGGAAAGCTGGCTAAAGAGGCAAAAGAGCAACAGCATATAGTTACCCAGTTATATATATATATATATATATATATATATATATATATATATATATATACACACACATATATATATATATATTTGTGTATATAGGCAGCAATCCTTCTTTCATGTACATTTCATTGAAGACGACAGACAAGGTGCTTTTATTTAGTTTTTTTTCATAATTTCTCATGCGATCTAATAATTTGTTTTCTTTTCGGATGATAAATTATATAAAAACTGTCGGAATGTTCTTTTTATCCGAGCGCTTTCGGCTATACATTTAGCCATTTTCAAGGATTATATTTTAACTTCTAAAATAAGAAATAGTTTGTTGTATGTATTTTGTATAAAATGCTTTCTTTTTTCAAAGATATTATGTCCATGTTCAAAGTTAATATTAATAAGTGTTGATTTTTTTTTTTTTTTATTAATAAGGCTTCCATTATTTTTTTTTTTTTGCATATATATATATATATATATATATATATATATATATATATATATATATATATATATATATATCTCACTGGCTGGACCACTCGGAGTTTCATCCGACTCTGTTATATTACATCGACCACTATTTTATTAACATCAGCACTGAACGTGCAATATATATATATATATATATATATATATATATATATATATATATATATATATATAAAATGGTCCACTTTATGTAATATTAAAAGAAGTAATCATTCAAAGGATTAATCAGTAAAATTAATGTATTTAATGGCGAAATCACTTCGCTAGCAGATTTATAAATCATTGACTTACTAAGCACTTTGCATGGCAAGCCAAAAGATGTTTTTTTAAGAGTGTGTTATTTATTAACGGTTACATAATTTGGAAACGTGCAATGTCGCAGCGGTAGAGTTGTATTTTAAATATTTTAAGTAAGAACATTTTTTGAATATAGCAATCTTGCAGATTTAATAGAGCATTATCTTACGAACCCCTCGGTCTACAATACATTTATTTTCATCTTAGAAGAAAAATGAAAAAAAAAGTGAACGCCTGATCATGAAAATGTGATGATTTTCGAAAGTATTAACAGCTATGGAACATAGAATCCATCATAAAAATGGCGTGAGGTCTGCCCGCCGTCGCCGTCGTCGCTGCCGCATAGGATAGTGTCGTAAAAGAACCGCTTCTTCCGTCTTACGCACGCCAGACTAGCCGCCGAAACGCAGCGTCGGCAGCATAGCGCGTCCTCCCGACCAGCGTTCAGTCTTCGTCGTTGCCGTTGGCGAGACGAACGCTCGCACGAAAAAGAACGATACCTGGTTGATCCTGCCAGTAGTCATATGCTTGTCTCAAAGCTTAAGTCATGCAAGTGTAAGTTCACGCCACGCATTACAACGGGCGAAACCGCGAATGGCTCAGGAACCGGACCTAATCCTCGAGACCGTAATCCTCCTTGGAGGCGATGGATAACTGTGGCAATTCTAGAGCTAATACATGTGACACAAGCCGCGATCGGTCGGCGCGTCGCCGTCGCCTGCGTGCCGTCACGCGCGTGGGCACACGCGTCGACCGTTACGGGTCGCGGCGCTACATATTAGACTGAGACCGATGCGCGTCATTCCGTCCTCTCGTTAATGCTTTATTAAATCTGTTAGCGAAGTGATTTCGCCATTAATTACATTGACTTTACTGATTAATACTTTGTATGATTACTTTTTTATATATATATATATATATATATATATATATATATATATATATATATATATATATTATTACGGGCGTAATATTGGAAATTACGATGCTCTCCGGAATTTCGTTCATTTCTTTCAAAATTTCAGTTCCGTCTTGGAACATCATCAGGCTAAAAAGACGCATGCTATTTCGTCAAAAGAATCCATTTATTGTCGCATTCAGTTGGATTCTCCGTATCAATTTGTTCGGCAGCAGCAGCAGCGACAGATCTACCACGTGACACCCACGGCGCATGTCCAGCTTGCTCAATCAATAAAATCGATTAGCCAAAAACGCCACTATTAATTTAAATAAATTAGAAAAAAACATTGATGCAAAAAGCAAATATACGACGAGTTTAGACATAAAATCTTTATATAGATGTTCACGTAAAGAAATGTCTAAATTTACTAAAACACTTAACTAAAACAAATATAAAATTATATCTTCCTATATATAAAATTATATAAATATTGTATTTAATTATTAATCAATTCTTTTTGCACCTTCGATAACAATTTTTACAGACGAAAATTTGATTTACTGAGGTCGTCGTCGCTTAGCGATGATTTGGCTTTATAGAAATTGAATTGAATTCTTCTTATTTTATATACAAAGACGATTCTTTATTAGTATATCGACAGAACATAGTTAACAAACTTTGAAACCACATAAGATTTTACCTTTGAATCTGAATCTAACAATATATTAATCTACCATGCTACATCGAACTAATAATGAACTTCAGTTGGAGATTTAAAGAAAGTCTATCAGCAAGAATGACCTTATCAATTTTTATTCCCACCACTATAACATGATAAAATCTTGAATAATTATAGGATTCTATTTAAGATCACTAAGAATCATCAGCCCACAATACTTACCCAAAGAAGAAATACAGGGTGTCCGAAAAAAAGTGACACCATTTCGCAGGACAATCATTTTGGCAATTCTTGTTGAAATAACCTCAAATTTTCACAGAATGTATACAAACAGATCAAGATTTTATATTTAATATTTTATTTTTTTTCTGTTTCCAGGTTGAGCCATGCCGTTTACTCTCAAAGAGAAGTCATTTTGCGTCTTGGTATATGCTCGCACACAGTCACCCAAGACTTTGCAACGTGTTTTCAATGCAAAATTTGGAAACATTTCACCAAATGACAAACAAATTTAGTCTTGGTACCAACAATTTAAAAAGAAAGACTGTTTACGCAAGGCTAAAGAATCTCGTAGACCATTATCAACATCAGCGTGTTTGACAAGAGCTTAACTTCCGACTTATCGTGTGCTGTGTCACAGGTGGTGCACATATTGAACAATTATAAAATCGCTCCCATAATAAACTTATGATATTCAACATCTAAACTGCTCAATTTCATTGAGCTAGACTTATTAGTTTTCAAGATAATTGTTTTTAAAATGAAGTCAAATTTTTGGGGACACCCTGTATTTCTCTGATATTTAAATTAGTTAGTTCTGTTGTTGTATACTACGCTATGGAATATGCTCGCAGCGTGCCTTCAATGCAAAATTTTATGGGGATATATGAAGGGGCTGGTGTATACCCACCCTCTTCCTGGTGGCATTGATGGACTCAAGCAGAGAATCACTTTCGTACTGGATAATGTTACTGGACACATGCTACAGCGTGTTTGGCAAGAGCTTAACTACTGACTTGTCATGTGCCGTGTCACAGGCGCTGCACATATTGAACACTTATAAAATCGGTGCCAGAATAAACTGTTCAATTTCATTGGGCTAGACTTAGTTTAAAATGATGTCAAATTTTTGCGACACTGTATACATGAAAGCACTTTCAAAAGCCTTCAATATCTTCATATTTTGCTCACAATGCTAAGAGAAAAGCATACAAAATATACAATCACAAACATGATAAGTATGTTATTAACAACAATAACAATGGCAATAAATTAAGAAAAAAAACAGACATATAATACTACCTATTAACCCTTTAAATGTAAAATTATCTAACACATTTTGTTATATATAAATTTCTATATCTTTTTGTCTTAAACCAAATGATTTATCTTTCAACACAAATTTCTTGGACTAGGCACCTAACCTAACGATTCTCCATTCATCACAGAGAATATTATATCCTGATTGTCAGAGATCGAATTTCAACTAATATCTATGTCGGAATACGGATTTATTGATTCAGTCAGAGAAGGCATTATTATTAGTAACAAACAAATGAACTGTTTTCATACTTAGTCAATTGAGATGAATTTTCAAATTGAATAAAAAAATCTAAGTAGAAAAAATGTTATTAACCTTGCCCTGACTCCTGTAATGACATCGTTTGCTTCTTCTTCTTCTTCTTCTTCTTCTTCTTCTTCTTCTTCTTCTTCTTCATGTGCCGCTTCTCCTCAGGGCGTAGGAGTACTGGCTCTCCACAACTTCCTGTCCCTTGTAGCTCGTAATAAATGTTCTTTCTGTTATTTTTCCTAAACCCTTTTCCGCCATTTACTGCATCGTTTACGAAAGTGCAATTATTGATTTTTTTTTCTGAGTTGTAACAATCACTAAAATGCCGGAGGAGCCCTGCCCTTTCTGTGTATTTCGGGTGACCCCATAGTCATACGAAACTGTTTTATCATTGCTAGGATTTACTTTCCTTTTCACAACGATTCTTGGCTTGCAGCCCAAACACTTCACTAGTGATAGATTTTTTTTATACTCGATAGATACGGATGTCTGATTTCCCACTGGGAGTAACTTCAGGATTAGATTTTTGCAGAAACTGATATCCAAAGAACAGGGCAGTTGTCGGCGTATTTGGCAGACACTACAAAGCATTGTAGGGTCCCTTTAAGACAACGAAAATTAAATGAAATGTAAATAACAAACAACCGTTAAAAAAAGGAAATTTTTTTTTCGTTCAGCCAATAAACACGAAAGATTTTCAAAACGTAAGAACTGAAACACGAATTTTTTTTACGATTCAAGCGAAGAAAATTTATAATAATTTCTTTGCAGTAATTTCTTCAGAATACTTCATCTTTTACTTCTTATGTATGCTATGCCCCTTCAGAATGCAAGCTATCATGGCTCACCACAACATCCTTTCCTTTGTAGCTCTAAGGCTTAGAGTCTAAGCAATCTTTCTCTTTTCACTATACTTCTAGAGTCAACTGTTCCGCCATCTATTTACACAAGCTCGTTAGATACACTATTATAGTCAGGACATGGATGAGCATGGCTCTCCACAACTTCCTAGTCTTTGTAGCTCTCAGAGTTAGAGTCTAAGCAATATTTTTCTATTCACTATACTTCTAAGTCACTGGGGGCACCTCGACGTGGTGTAATGGTTAGCAAGCTTGTCTTGCTAGATCACTTACGACACTGAGTAGTGAGTTCGATCCTCACTAGGTGCTCCATACTTTCGGCCTTGTACCACATCAAAGTCGGGCTTACAAAATCATTATTTCTAAGTCACTGGAGCGTCATCCGTTTACACCAGCTCGTCAGACAGACCATTATAGTCAGGACATGGGTGAGCATGGCTCTCCACAACTTCCTAGACTTTGTAGCCTGATAGTCAAAGCAGTCTTTATCTTTATTGTATACTTTCAAGTCACTGTACTACCATAAATCTATAGAAACTTGTCAGATAGACAATTATATTTAGGACTTGCTTAAGGATGGCTCTCCACATCTTCCTATCCTTTGTAGCGCTAAGGTTTAAAGTCTAAGCAATCTTTTTCTTTTCACTATACTTTCCAGTCACTGTTCTTCAAATCCATTTACAAGCTCGTCAGACAGACCATTTTAGTCAGGACATGGGTGAGGATGGCTCTCCTCCACTTCCTAGATTTTGTAGCTCTAAGCCTTATAGTTTGAGCAATTTTTGTCTTTTAGTATACGTTCCAGTCATTGTACTGCCGTTAATTTACAGAAACTTGTCAGATAGACAATTATATTTAGAACATGGGTGATCATGGCTCTCCACATCTTCCTATCCATTTTAGCTCTTTATAGTTTCTTCTATCGGACTTCTGGCTTGGAGAGCACTCTTCCGGCTTCTTGCTTCTAAGTCAATTTTGATCTCCAAAAATTTAAACGCAATGTTAATCATTATTTACTGTCTACATAACCCTAGAACACTAACCATGGGTATATAGTACCCAGCGCAAATTTTCCTATTTTTAATTACAATTTTCAGTACCTGATTTTCTTACCTAAATAATATGTTTTTCAGTTCCTAATGTTAACTCAAAGTACAAAGATAGAAGTGCCTGCATGTAAAATATTTCAAATAAAGATATATATTTAATATTTTTTTTTAATATTTTCAAAATCGGTTATGATATATCCATGGCTAGTAGTGGTGTAACTTTAATTGATGGTTAGTGTTCTAGGGTTAATTCTTGTTCTTTTATTGTTCTCTCTCCTTAATTGTGTTTTGTTTTCTTTTTCATATTCTCTAACACTCAGTAACCCCCTTACGACTTAGTGGCTTTATTGCTGTGCTTCTGGAGAAATGATTAAAAAGATATTGCATTACGATAGGTTTGAGGCGAGATGAAAATGGAGTCAGTGTAACAGCCCAGAGTAAACCCAAGTCCACAATATATACCCGGGCTTATTCTATTTCTGGTTTTCTACTCAGGGTATAAGTTAGGCGGGGCCAGTTGCATAGGAATAAAGGACCGGTGTCGACACTGGAGTTTGAACACTGATCACCAGAGAACAAACACAGGCGATCCCATTTTGAATAAGTAGATCACGGGACCATAGAGGAAACGCGTATATGTGAATCACCATTTCTATTCTATCCTCTATTACTATTGAACACTAGTTCTACTCTACCCTCTATTACTATTCGGATCACTATACAGTGGTTACTATACGAGCGAGTATTATCGAGCAAGTATTATTAGTGCCAGCATTATTTGAAGGCGTCTGACACTAACATTGTTCAACGGCGTTACAATAGTTGTATCTGCGATTACAAAATATCTACTAAATAGTGTAGATAATACCTCATCTCAGAAATATAGACAGATACTAAAAGGCCGAAACGTTGAAATAAATATGGCAACAAAGATGAGGACAATAGTCCGAATAATGTAAATAGTTACATAAATACTTTCATCTCAGAAATATAGACTGATACTGAAAGGCCGAAATGTTGTAATAAATATGGCAACAAAGATGAGGACAATAGTCCGAATAATGTAAATAGTGTACAAATACCTCATCTCAGAAATATAGACAGATATGAAAGGCCGAAACGTTGTAATAAATATGGCAAACAAAGATGAGGACAATAGTCCGAAAAATATAAATATTTGTATATAATACCTCATCTCAGAAATATAGACAGATACTGAAAGGCCGAAACGTTGTCAATATAAATATTATGACAAAGATGAGGACAAATTGTCCGAATAATGTAAATAATGTACATAATACCTTATCAGAAAGAAATATAGACAGAAACGTCAATCGTGACCTTAAAAAAAAAATTTAATTCCAGTTTTTTTTATTTTATTTATCTCTCTCCCTAATATAATTGGAAATTATATTTTTTTGCACTCGATTTATTTTTGATTTTAGAAGGTATTTTTTTCTATTAAAATAGAAAAATTTTGAGTCACGTTTTCTAAAAAAACTGTTTCTATATTCTCTGTTTAACAGGATATCTTTGTTAAAAGTGTTAGTGTAAAACATTATTTGTCAAATCATAATTTATCTGATAAAATGTTTAGGCGACAAAAACTCGACATTAACGAATTACCAAAATCAAATCGACTATTTTTAAATAAAAAATGAATGTTTCCTTCAAAATCTCAATCAAAAGATGCAATAAAAAAGAAACGAAATTTGAGGAGAACAGAAAATGAACGAGATATTGGAAGAAAGAAAATTGACAGATATAGATAAATAAAGAGAGATAAGATAGAAGAGAAGAGATAAATCTATAGAGAGAGAAACCAGAGAAAGAGAAAAAAATAGAGAGATAGAGAGAGAAAGAGAAAATGAAGAAAGAGAGATAGATAGAGAGATTTAAGAGAAGAAAGAATAACATTTAAAAGAAAGAGGCTTATAGAGAGTGATATTTAGATAGAGAGAGAGATGATAAGAGAGATATATATATAGAGAGAGATAGAGAGAGATAAAATATATATAGAGAGAGAGAGGTTTAGTTAGAAGAGAGAGAGAGATGAAATAGAGATAGAGAGATTTTATTTTGAAGAGAGATAAATAAAGAGAAAGAAGAGAGAGAGAAAGAAAAGAGAAATAAAGAGAGAGAGAGAGAGAGAAGGAGAGAGACAAAGGGGTAAAAGTAGAGAGAGATAGAGAGAGAAGAGAGAGAGAGATAGAAATTTAAAATAAAGAGAATTAATTTCAACAAGAATTGAGGACCAATTTTGGAAATAAAGAAGGATTTTATAGATATGAAAATTAGAAAAGAAAGAAAAATTTTTCGTTCGCACTGAGAAAAAGAAGAGAATGCAAAAAAAAAGGACGAGATAAAACTACATTATATGAACAATAAATTTGAGTAGGAGGTTTTAATATAAAAAAAAAAATTAATTGATGGAATTTTTAGCTGAATTTATGATTAAACGGTGGTATTTGTTGTTATGATAGCATGTTTTAATTAAAAAATAGTTAATTTTAAATTTTTAGAAAAATATTTTTAATAGTTTTAACAAAAAAATTTAAAAAAATTATTGATTTTTAAATAATAAACAATAAATTTTTGAAAAAAAAAATATTTCAAAAAAAAAATAATGGATAAGGATAATTTTTAAACATTTTTGGTTATGATACGGTTTAAAACAAAAAAAAAAAAAATTTGAAAAGCAATGAACAACATATGATATTGATGTATATTTAAATAAGATTTAATTAAATAAATGCAACAATGTGCATTGATATAAATTTTTTGACGGAAAAAAGGTATGAATGGCGTATCAAGCTAAATAAAAAATTAAAATTTTATATAAAAATAAATATAATTGAAAAAATAAAAATAATTTATATGTCATCGAGTTTATATTTAAAATTTAGAATGTATTAATAGGGAGTTGAAAGAAAAAGTCAAAAAGAAATATCAAAATAAACATTAAAATTTTTCAGAATTATATAAAATTTCAATATTTAAAAATGAAAATTTAAATATATATATATATATAATATTATATATATATTTATAAAAATATCCATATATATATTCAAATATGATTAGAAATCTATTAAATAATATGTTATATATTTTCAGATAAATAAAAATTTTTAAATAAAAATAATGATATCCAATCATTTGAATTATAAATAGACAATTCAAAAAATATATCCAAATATAATATCCATCAAAAATCCATTTAAAGATTTTAAAAATCAAACCCATTTAATCCATGAAATCATCCATCCATCCATTATATATATCCATCCATCCATCCATTTCAAATAAAATCAGAAATCATAATTATCCATCCATCCATCCATCCATCCAAACAGGATTCCATCCAATATTATTTTATTCATTGATTTATCCAAATTCATTCATTATCCAGAAAAATTCATCCATTTATCTATCCATATATGAATGTATCAAATTTAACATTTTAAAAATACCAGATAGATTTTTTATAAAATATATAATATAACAAAATATATATATTTATTATCTAAATATTCATATATAAATTTATCCATCCATCTATTATCCAAAAATCAATTATCATTTAATAAAATTTAAAATTTTAAATCCATTTTGAATAAATAAGAAATTCAAAAATTTAAAATATTTATAAATAAATAATATCCATTTCAAAAATCCATCTATGAAATCAAAAAATTATAAATAAATATTATTATCCATCTATCCATCTATCTTAATATCATCCATCCATCTATTAATTTATCCATTCATTAAATCCATCCATCCAACAATCTCATTTAAATTCTATCTCATCATATCATCGAAATCATCTATCTATCCAGAAAATATCCATCTATTTATCTATTCATCCATCAGAATATCAAAATATTATCCATCCATCCATCCATCTATTATGATATAAAGACATATAAATCCATTATATCCATCCATCATCAACATCCATCTATCCAAATATTCAGTCATTTCTATCCAAAAAATGAATCTCATCTTATTCATTATCCATCATTAAATATCCATCTAATCATATATATATTCAAATTCATCTATCTTAATATCCAAATATTTATAAAATATCAGATCAATCATTATTATCCATCTATTATGTATCTAAATATATTTATTCATATATATCCATCATCTAAACATATAATATATATAAATTCATCAATATAAATCCTACATCATCTAAATATATATATATATATATATCTCAAATATCCATTATAATTCAATATCATTCATCTATCTCAAATCATCTATCTATCCATCCATCTATCCATTATCTATCCATTCATATATATTTATCAATATCTATCTATTATATTCATTATTCATTCATCTAATCATATCATTTAATCCATCCATATATCTAATCCATCTATTCATATGAATATAAATA